CACCGACTCCTCTGATTCAGCTCTGACTAACACGCTGCCGGAAAAACGCTGCTCGGAGGATAATCTCAGGAATTTTCCTTCAAAGGCTCTCAATTAAGCATCCTTCCTAAATATTAAACATGAACAGTGACATGTTTGATTTTACTGTTAAATATAAGAGGAGGAAGAGATGGTCACTCTTTTCATCAATGTCTCCTGCTGGAGAGGACTCAGGAGCTGTTATCTCCTGCCAGCCAGTCACTTCGTTAGCGCTGAGAGCCGCGTGGGGATACGGCAATACACCACGTCTCGCTTGAACAGGCGCCATGTGGCTGAGCTCAGCTCTGATGTAACCAGCTATGTCAACAAATCTCCCTGCAGATTCGGGCACTCTGAGGACATAAGGACCATACAAGTGTCCTCCTAAGTCTGCTATCTCCAATGTTTCTTAAATGCCATCTGTGACACCTCTCCTGGGTGAGAAAAGCTTCTTCGTCTAGCCATTAAAAGCTGCCTGGCAATGGCAAATGGGAGTCATATCCCTGGATCTGGCAAGGCAGACTTTCTGAAATGATTCCCAGCTGCTGAATCTTTCCAAAGAGCGAACAATAGTAGCAGACAATGCTAAAAGTAGATGCAGGAAACCATTAGTCCTCAGCTGGCTGCTACTGCAGGTGTCAGCAGCGATACTGTACTAGAAAGTGCTGTGCATAGACAGGAATCCCGATCCCTCACCCTCACTGCTATTTAATGCTGGAGGCAACACAGAGCAGACAATCCTGAGAGCAAAATGGCAAAGAAATGCTCTGAGGAAGCTGGATTGTCACAGGCATCGTAGCGGGGTCACACAGACACCCTGAATCCCAGGCGGCAGAGCAGGGCTCTCCAGGGCGGCACAGCCAGCTGTTCAGAAACACGCACCAAGCTCCAACCTCGACTCGCCACCTTGCACAACTCTGGGCCAACCACCCAAGCCCAGCACCAAAATTTTCAAAAAGTAACTCACAGTACTGGGTATCTTAGCACGCTTTTTAAGACCAGCTTGACACGCTTTGGAGGATGTACCTTCAGCATCTGCTGAAGACGAGGCTCCTTTCTGGGGTGTCAAGCAGGGCATAACGGGAGCACTAACCATCCATTACAAACATGACAAGGATGGGAGAAAAGCAGCAGCTGCCTGATCTCCCCTGAAAAAGATGTCAAACAGGAGCAAGGAACCTGCCCACAACCTGACGGCTGCTACTACTGCTACTGCCCAGCAAGAGAGGCCACAGACCTGTGCAGGGGCAAAGCAGGGATCTGGAGCCACCCCAGAGAAGAGCAGGAAAAGCTCACATGGAAAGGGTGCTTTTTAGCCTGGCAGAGAGTGAACCGTCAGCAGACACTAGTTTACACAGGTACTTGAGAGACCTGTGAGTAAAATCTGTGTTCCCCAGGGATCATCTCTGCAAGGTGGGATGTTCCAGGAGACCCCGATGGGTCAGTGCCCAGGCCATGGTGCACCCCTTGTGCTCTGGGTGGCCAAACTGGGACCCTCCCACTGCCACAGCTGATGCTGAGGTTTTAGTGGTTATGGCTGGGTGTGAAGCCTTGCTGCACGTTTCTTCATTCATATGCAAAGAAGCCAACATGGATTTGGAAGCTGATTCCTGAGAGATGGAGGAGCTGTTTAATTAGTGCCTCTGCTACCTTCTTGCTGACATTGCATGGCAGCGACTGTCCTCTTGCCCCACTCGGGGAATTTCACATTTTAGCCCCAGCTGGGAAGATGGATTTGAGAAGCACGTTTGAAGAGCACCCAGCCACAAGCACAGCTAAAGCTTTCAGACGGCCTTACAAATAAACAAATGCATTTCTAGGGATTGCTAACAAAAATGCTTTCCCAGCCCTGGCACATGACAGCAGCGTAGCTGCCTCTGCTCTTCATCTTGACCTTGTGCTTGCCACCCAGCCATGAGCTGCTCTTTTTTACTGGCAAGTAGAGGAGGATTAAACTTAGGAACAGACTTTACTTCTCAATGAAATGATTACTAGAGTCAAAAGCAGCACTCTGACTTTTTTCGCAATGAACCTTGGTTTCTTATAAATAT